TTGATGTTTTAGATTATCAGGAGAAATATCCACAAGGCTAACAGTGTCTCCCAGATCCGATCTATTCAGACATCTCCTTATGGAAGGGCTCACTTCATCAGAAGTGAAAGTTATCATGAAAGGAATTTCTTCGTTCAAAAGAACTCTACTAGCTGTGCTGGAGCCACCACCTGCCATGGACCTGGGATCGTGCGGAGAGTGTTTGTAGCTGTTGAGCTCGGCTATTTTCTCTGTCATTTCCACTGACTTTTCCTGTCCTCCGAAGGCGACAATTATCGCGGTTCGGATCACTGCACGTTTGTCTGTCAAGGATGTGCTGACCGCCAGTGAAGAATTGTATTTTTGTAACAGCACTTCCTAAACTACTTTGTGACAAGGTTGCACCTCAGGAACTTGACCTGCACATTAAGAAAAAGAAGTCAGTTTCTGAACTGCTTTTCACAGGTGAACTTGATAGGCTCAGATTGCCTATTGATGAGGTTGAAGCATTTGTCCATCTCTTCCTGTGCTGAGCAAACTGCGATACAGTCGTCGATGCAACAGCCTTGCATCATAGGCAGACGTTCCAAAACGGCTGTTTCCATTTTAGCCATAAGATCAGGGCCAAACTAGGCGCCATGCGTTGCTCCTGGGTAAACCTCTAGTTTGCGCGAATTACCTCCTCGACCACTCCAAAACGTTGCAGTTCGGGCATTCTTCGAAAAGCGCGATTACTCGTTTAATGGAAACCTCTTTCATCTGAGAGCGTGCCAGTGCTGAGTGAGAATCTCTGAAATGGCCTCCATAGCAGATGCTTTACTTACATTGGTATACAGAGCTTACACGTCGTATGATCCCATGACACAGGAGCTATTGAGACGCACTCTCTCGAGATCTCGAACTCAGGAACATCTGAGTGTTGGCGAGGTGCGATGGTATAAACTGAAGCAAATGCGTCAAAATGGTGTTGAAGAAACAAGCGATACTTTCAGAGGGATCTCTTACTTAGCTAATCATGAGCCTAAGCTTTTACAGAGTATGGCCAAATCGTCCGTCGGTAAAGTTGAGGATGTGAGGTTTTGATGGGGATGTGAAACATAGGGCAGCTTGGGGACTCTAATTTGAGATTTCAGGTGTATTAGAGTATAGACCCGCCGACTACGCTACCGTCATCACTCTCAATTTGGCCTTCTAAACTGTGGCTGAAACACTGCCACGGACCACATCAGTGGTAGTCTCGAGAACTGCCTTATAATACTTACTAAAGTGGTTGCAAGTGTAGAAATAGTTATCGTCGTAGTTCAAATATTCCTGCTCCGCTCTAGAAATATTGATGAGAGACTTTATTGGCGCACTCTCAAACTTGGGTAATTAAACCTGGTATCAACAATTACGCAACAGAACAAAACAACAGTGAAACTATCAATACGTAAATGGTGCAAAAGACTTCTACGGTTATGAGAATGCAAGAAACTCAGGGCATTAGAATTATATAACTCCAATAGTTAAAAAAATGATGCAAAAACACTTCAACCAAAA